CAAAATAGCCATTAAAGTAATAGACCATTCAAAACTAACTGACGTCTGGAATGACAGTCCTGGAGGTGACCTGAAAAAAGACAGCTATTTCCGGTAGATCTTTATTATTGACAGAAGGAAGAAAAATGGCTCAAGGTCATTTCAGAAGCCTTAATACGTTACCTTTAAGTTCATTTATTTCGCTTCGTTTGGGAAGGGATTCAGTTAACTCCAACGCATTCCTGCCTACACCAGATAAGGCAGCATTTGTTTACAAAGGTTCAAGGTAAAATAACTCGGCGTGGGCATTTCTGAGAGCGCAAAACTGAGTTGGCAACCTTCCAAGATCAAAACGCTACAAACCCTCCGAAAAGGCTTTAAACCAGGCATGAGATTTTACTGACTCTTGATTAACAATTGGACATGTCCCCCCAAATCCCTGTGTGTGCTTGATTCTGCAGCGAACTTGGACAGTTTACTATTTTCGTGGAAGTTGCATTTTCGACAATGTACTGTCATGCCACTCTAGCAGAACAGCTTTTGCATTGTAATGTAAACTAGCCTTCCCAGTCAGAGATGCAGTAGTTACTATGATTGATACAAAATAATGGCCGGCATATAGATGATCGGCGAGGGTGGTATCTCAGATGTTGCGCGTTCTATTCATTAAACTTACGTGCTGCGCACAAGGTCTTTTCTCCCGCAACATGTATTTTTAAAGTATTCAGCCTAGGAAAAAAAGTTTCCGGATATAAGGAATTATCGACGTGAATAGAAAATGTCCTATGCTAAAGCTATCTGTGTGTTTGCGTCTTCTCTGTGAGATGGCATTACTCCAGGAAGAAAAATTCAGGGAGTCAGATTTGACAAACTTGAACATGGTAGAGGGGGGCGCTCACCGATCGTTCTTACCGTACTCACTCGTTCCGTTGTGCCTTGCGGGCTCTCTCTCGAGCCCAACCAGCAGCCGCACAGTGGCTCATGATATAGGCGGAATGTCATTGCGGATAAACTTGAAAATATACCTGTCAGTCCGCGCAGATCCAGTGAGGCAATAAGTGAATAATCACGTCTTCAAGAAGTCAGGAGCGCTTTCGGTTACAGAGATCAATGCAGCCTTCACGACTTTTTGTCCTAAAATGAAACGGTAATACCAGCAATCGAGCTCTTGTTTTACCCTATCGGATACTTCCCAGGCAATCGAAAATCGCAAAAGAAATGAAAAAATGACTGACCGTTTCTTTGTTAACCCAAAACATAGGTGCATAGTGGAGGGATATATGATCGGCTTACTATATAGGTAAAAATGATTTTAATTCTAAACACTGGTTTTCAGAAATAACAGTAGACTAGGCAAAGGTGGTTAAACACGCACAACTTAGTGGTCAGTGGTGTGCCATACTACGCTACAGTTTACTGATGTTGGTTAAAAGTCCAACATCTCTTACCACCGTGCCACGGGCTTGTTGTCTTGTCAGTTGTGATCTGGAGTAGAGGGACGCTCACCGATCGTTTTTAAGAAACTCACTCCTCCCGTTGTGCCATAAGGCTCTCTCTCGGGCCCAACCAGCAGTCGCACAGGGGCACATGATACAGGCAGAATAGCATTATCGCAAAGACAAGTAGGACTAGAATGACCATTTCTGGCTCATTAGCCATCGTCAGCTAGCCAGTGAGATACGTAGACATTCATTTATGAAGCAAGCTGTTTCTTAGAGGTAACATTCGTTGCAAAATATTGTTTATTTGATCAAGAGCGTATTCATTGCGGAGCTTCCTTGTGGAGTCCAATTTGTTTCGGTGATACTGTTTCATCTCTTAATCAGCTTGCAAGTATGACCCAGACTAAGACCTCTGGTCAAACAACTAGTGAGAACCGACTACCACTTAACGGTCCTAAAAGATTTTGTTAAATCGACAGATTTAATGAGCATAAAATGTAGAAATGGTTTTTATCTCGAACGAGTCTGAACATCAGAAATTGAAATGCATGACCTGAGACTGTACGGCCCCCACTGAGGCCAGAGAAAAGCTATGATTTTGTATGAAACATCCCGTTCCCATGCGGCGAAACCCAGTCTTATGGTTGTGCCTGCTAATTATATTCTTACTTTTGAGTCAGTGGCTAGTCCCTCGATCTGTGGCCTTACAATAGCCTTAATTTCTGTTTCGGTGACCTCATCATTGGACTTTAGTTTTTCACATTTCATGTTAACTCCTTTTGTCATGCATTCTCCAACTCCTTTGTTATTCAGCCTTGTTTGAGCCGATGTTTGTCAGTTTTATCCACACATTCTGTTTTAATTGCGTTGCAATGCGCTTGGCTAGCCACTAGCGGAATCCTCCTCGTCTCTTGCCTTTTTATCTACTGAGCTCGATAAAATCGAGGGACCTACTGGCACGGCAGTTAAGTTTGACCTAATAAGCTCGTAAATCTTATCTTGGGAATGGGCTGTGGATCACTGGTGAGCGCCAAACGGCGTGACGACGCCAACAAGGGGATCGAATTGAATCTCCTTCGCTCGATTCAGTTTTAGTTCGAATGATGCAAAGACACAAACTTTCAGTCAAATACTTCCATATAATTTTGAGAACTTTGCTCATGATCGGGGGGGTAAATAAAAGAAAACAGGGTTTATTTTGGAACAACTATTACCAGCTTTTCAACAAAGTGTTCTCGAAATTGCGGGGTCTGAATACACATTCCCATATGCCGAGAGTAGTGGAAAAAGTTTGAGATAGTAGTATACAACCATTAATTTGATAAACCTAGTCTCATTGTCTGGATTTTGAGCTCGTTATGCGTTAGACCTAGGGTTAGTGAGACTCTGGCGTTCCACAGGAATTATCACGGAAAACATGCATGGGTTAGAAGAAGTGGCCTCGCAGCACCTGTTGAGGGAGGTGAACATTGTAATCGGAAATGCAGCAGGCAGGAAAAATCTTTGTCTGAATATGGTAGCGACTAGAAAGAAATATGCGGAAGCCAGAGCAGAAGAGGGCACGCCAAAAGTACGTGTTGAGATGAGAATATCTCTCGTTAGCAAAGCAGGATAAACGACAGGAAAGCAGGAAATAATAGAAGGGAGAGAGAGAACGCAGGTACCCACAGACTTCGAGATTAAGGGTGATTTGTAATAGGAAAGTGGACGCCGAAGATAATCAACGATTTGTGGAGTACGTTGAAGAGGGATACGACATGAAGAAAGAATTAAAGATTGGAAGACGGCCAAGTGCTTAAAATAATATATCAAATTGGGAATGATTCCAAAAAACCGGGATTGAGAAATAGTTGCAGTTGAAGAGCACAAAAAATAACTTCTAAGTATTGGGTAAAAGACAGTTTTCTGACATCCACGCTGAAACATGATCCGAGTTTTAATTAGGAAGCTTGAGACTGATCCCACTCATGACTCGGTGAAAAACAGCTAACGTATAGGCAGTCGGTGGTGATCTCAAGTGCCGTGTGCGAGGTGAAAATAGATGAGGAGATTAGCTAGAAATACTCCATAATTACTTAAAGGAAATTAATAAATTTGCAACTGTCAGACTTGGGAAGACGAGTGAATAAAGGAGTGTAATCTGAATGTCGGAGACAATCCAGCCGAGGGGAGCTGCGATAGGGTATACTTTGAGGGGCGGAGGTGGCATAGAAAAGGAGCCAAGCGACAAGGATTGCACACACACATGTATGCACGGCAGCCATTATCTGAAATTGGAAGAAAGGATTCCGGACTAAAACGATTAGATACTTTAGCGTTTTGTTTGATTCAAACAGCACGCCAAGTATCCGGGATCCTAAATTCTCCGAAAGGTGAGTTAAAACGGGTGTTGGCTGAGCGAAGCAGGATTAAAGGGAAGGTAACTAGACGCCGTCAAGTCCATGGACGACTGACCTACACAGGTCTAGAGGATGGCGCCAACCCCAGTCACCGACACAGGACGAACAGTACTTAGAGATAGTAGGAAAAAGTCCAAGAATAATAAAATACCTTAGGGGTAAAGCTAAAAGTCTTACTAACTGAGTCTTATTGTTCATTACAGTGAGTCTCCGTGCCTGTTGCTCAATGAGGTGTTCAAAACTTGTCAAAGTATCGGCAGAAGTGTGAAAAGAGAAAATATGGAAGAGAGAAAGAGGGGCTAGCAAACAGGCAGCATAGGTAGTTGAATTACATCTTAATTTGGACGCTGACTGTCCTAATGATGTCATCCAGGCATAATTTGTAGTGACTTTCTTTTCGATGTCCTAGAAATTCGAGGTAGAGGGAACAGACTCTGTCAACTCTGACCACTATGATTTCGAGGAGACATCTGGAATAAAAGCTACGCTAAAATGGACGTAAGACAGCTGGGGCATGAATGGACATTCGAGCATTTACGGAGAATCGGGGTGACACCACTCATGCAACTCTACGTTGGTCAAATGCTCTGGGAATAAGCGCTGGGAAACGTGATTTGCAGCTCGGGTTTTGTTAACTATTCCAAGTTAGAATAGAAAATTTTCTGAAGACCTGGCAAAGAGGGCAATCTGAGCCAGAGAGTAGGTCTAATATTTGACATGAAAAGTCTAATGCAGTTAATTTGAACGCGGACAAGAGAAGCTCTGTCGTGAGCACTGAAAGAATCAAGGCCTTCAAAGCATAAATGAATAAATGGACATTAGCTTTTGAGGTTAAAATCGTCAAATAAGATACTTGCAGGACAGTGAAATGTGTTCCTGCTACTGCAGGACGGATAAATGAGCCAAGACAACCTGCCAACCCGAGGATATAGCACAAGTACTGGCTACTGAACCGGTAAATCTTTGCCGCTAATTTTGCTTGACGCATTATTCAGTTATGTAAACATAAAAATTTTGCATTAAAAACGCAATCCACCCATTAAACACAAAGTTTAGAATTCGCGGAATTTATTATCTTGTCCACAAACTCTTTTCTAAATGCCTCAATGTCAAATTCAACAGCAATTGTCTATTTTATTCTTACTCGACACCCATGCACTTGATACATATTCTTCCTGGCATGAAGTTAAAACGGTTGAGAACCACAGAATCTGCTTATGCTAATGGATTGCACAATAGCTTGTCAGCTGCAACCCGTCTCTGCACAACAGAGATAACGAATGAGAGGCGTCCAGCACAGAATACCATTGCGAAAACTACAAGGCCACTGTTCAGTGCACGCATTCCAATCAATGAGAAGAGTAACTTCAAAAAGGCTACAGGAGGAGGAGGAGTAGGAGGAGAAGAAGAAGAAGAAGAAGAAGAAGAGGAGGAAGAAGAAGAGGAAGAAGAAGAAGAAGAAGAAGAAGAAGAAGAAGAAGAAGAAGAAGAAGAAGAAGAAGAAGAAGAAGGGGGAGCCAACTCGCAAAAAGAGAGTGTGTAAATCAAAGGAGCGGGGATTACCACGACAAGTGGAAGTTGATCGCACGGTCTAACTGTTTGCATAGGTCGGGTTCCTCCCTTCGTATGCAGATTGCTTCCAGATAGCGAAATGTTCGAATTGTTTGTGCCCGAGCAAGTGCACGGAATGCCGTTTTGGAGTCAACAGAGTGGCCGCCACCAAGAAGGTGTTCTGCGATAAAAGAACTGGCGAACATATTTTTCTGTCTCAAAAGCCATTAATGCTAACCGTCGATCAATTTGGCTGCCAGTTGCCTTTGCGTACGCCCAATCTACTTGCATCCGCAGGTGCACGTGAATTCAAAAACACAATTGAAAGTGTAGTCAATGGCAACGCATCTTTGGCCCTTTGAATTTAAATAGCCTTAGTAGAACTGTATTACAAGTCCTTTTAATTCCACATCGTAACCGTCGCTTTATAATATTTGGCATTTTGTTGTTATTAAGGAGTAATGATATTATAATGGGCCTCTTCGGAACTGCCTGTTCCGTTAATTTTGGCCTCAAGGGGTGTTGTACCTTTGGATGAAACGTGTAGGGTATCCACTTTTAGGCAAGCTGGCCTTAGGCCAGACAACCTCTGCCGTAAGTGACTCAGTATAGCAAATGTTTCTCACTTTTTAAAAGATGGTGATGATAAGATTCCGTTTATATTATACTGCTAAAAAACCGATGGAGTGTAGATATTGACTGTTCCAGGTATTCTTGTGGAGCAGTAATTGCTCGATTGTACCATCTTCCTGTTTAATCATAAGAACGCCCAGGAAAGGTAGCTTATTCCACTGCTCATTCTTCATTTTAAATTCGGTCTTGGAGTGCTGCCTGTTCAAAACAATAAGTTGGTCTTAAGCATCTTCGTAGTCATCAACAATCGCGAATATATCGTCCATATATCTTCTATATTATGATTTTATACTTAATTTTGCCGGCACTATTTCTTCTGAGTAACCGAAAAATGTAGGCAAATATTGGAACGGATGAAATCCACACTGCCACTCAGTCAATATGTCTGCGCAATTTCAAATTAAACAGCCATTAACATCTGCGTACAAATCTTCAATAAGTCACGAAGTATTTCGGTTGGCAGAAGAGTTTCGGCCATATGGGCGCATACGACCTTTACTATCTTGTCAAGTGGTCTAATTGTAAATAGTAATTCTGCACTCAAGGATATTATACATCTTCCAGAAACATTTTGAAGCCTTGCTTCTTCAATAAATTGAAAACTGTCTTTTAGCGTACAAGTTGAAAACTCACGCCGAATCGGTTTTACTTCATGAGCAAGCCATTGGTCTGGAATGTTTTGAAGTGAATTAGATATCGACAGAATCGGTCATATAAGTATATCCATTTTATGTGCTTTCGGTAATCCATATAATCTGGGGATATTTGTACCTCTAGGTTTTGAGGATAACGCGGTTTTACCATTAGTAAATTTTATCAAGCAAATGTTTAACCATTCTCCTGATGGAGTCTTCTAATGTCCCGGCCCCACCCTTCGCCAATATTTCTTAATAAAATCTACTCAGATCATTTAAAATGAATTCCATTTATGAAACAAAGTTTTTCTGATAAGGGATTACAGCCTTATGACCTTTGTCAACCTTAGAAATTATAATATGCCCATGATTTTTCAGTGTGGATAGGGCAATCATGTGTTCATTACTTATTGGCAATAGTTGGGTTAATGGAGCTCTACGGAACTGGTGAGGAATGTCCACAAATTTCGTTTTCAGCCCATCCAGATCATCAGTGGGTCTTGGTTTTAGGTCAGATAGTTGAGAATTCAGACCCTCGAATTGGGTCTTAACTTCACCTGGCAGCCAGGTCAGTTGAGCATTTGCCTAAACGGCTGTTAAAACAGAAAAATAAGTTCGTCCGTTCTTTTATCGCAAAACACCTTCTTGATGGCGGCCACTCTGTTGACTCCAAAACGGCATTCCGTGCACTTGCTCGGGCACGAACAACTCGAACATTTGCCTGCCTGAAGGCAATCTGCATACGGATGGAGAAAACTGACCTATCCAAACAGTTAGATCGTGCGGTCAACCTCAACTTGTCCTGGTAATCCCCGCTCCTTTGATTTACGCACTCTCTTTTGCGAGTTGGCTTCCCCCTGCTCCTCCTGCTCCTCCTCCACCTCCTCCTCCTCCTCCTCCTCATACTCCTCCTCCTCCTGTAGCCTTTTTAAGTTACCCTTCTCATTGATTGGAATGCGTGCACTGAACCGTGGCCTTGTAGTTTTCGTACTGGTGTTCTCTGCTGGACGCCTCTCATTCGTTATCTCTGTTATGCAGAGACGGGTTGCAGCTGACAAGCTATTGTGCAATCTATTGGCATAGGTGGATTCTGTTGTTCACACCCGTTTTTTATTCAGTGCACACGAACTGCTTTCGGATTGTGAGAGTCCTTGCGCGAGTTTTCACACACCACTAGGTCTGCTGTCTACCGAAAATTAAAATCGACTATTTTCCCAGCTCGCGCGCCTTTCCTTCATGGTTCCACCGGTAGACCACTGAACACGGAGCCGGAACGTCGGAGGTCCGACGCATATGTCCCCTACTTCACAAAGTCTATCTCCGTTTAACTGCATTAGCCGTAAGATTGAGCGGTGAAGTTTTTTCGCAAAGCGGCGTAGGACTTTTCGTGTGCTTTACTTTTTTGGGTCGTCACATTTTTGAGCAGCACAGCAACGAAGGTGAGAAGGCTAGTGTCTGGAGCACGCCTCCGGTTCGTAGCATTTAAGTACAATAAAACAGTCACTTTAGAACGAAATATTACCAGTATTGGCACTTCATATATCTGTCCGGTAAGTTATTTTAGTAAGGCTGGATTATGTAAATCATGACAAACCGTGTAAAATGAGGCCACTGCGTTTATAAAACGCTTATTTCAAGCATAAAAGTAAACAAATGGAAAGAATGGCACCCCTTAACTTTTAGGCTGTCTCTCGCAATCCATATCTAAAAACGACTAGGTCATAGCCTAGGGAGTCTAAATATTATTTCACTCAGACCTGAATAAAATCAAGCTGATCGGGCGAGGAGTTATTTTGAGGATAAGTATTTGTCAGTGTCAATATGGCATGACCCGTCCTCTGGTCAGGTTTGATTGGCGATTATGTCGGGCCTCTGAGCGAACATTCATTATCGCTCGGGAACTACAGCTTTTGGCTTCGCCGTGCCTAAGTGGGAATTATTCCATTGACGGGATGATGATAGTAAAACAACCAGGATCATCGTTCCATCCTTCCAAATTGAAAGATCTTTTAATTCCCCAAAATGTCACGAGTTTTCAGAAACGAAGTATAACCTCGCACGCAAACCTGATAACACAGACACAACTAGAGTTATCCATCCATTTCCTGGGAGTCTATACCACCGTAGTGACTTGGGTGGTTTAAATGAAAAAAAACAGGCCGGTGAGTGGACTTTGTTGTTACTTCAGACTACTGCACATAAAGATGAACTAAATAAATCGTTGTTAAATTCCGCACCTTCTTTCAGTTCAAGACTACAGGCCGTATCCAAGACGCGAGTCATCCTTGCGTAGTTCTAATGTAACTGATTTATGGTAAGATACAGGCTTGATGTAGTAGTCGTTACCCTCCAGCCTGCTCGATCACTCTGATAATTTCCTGCTTCCACCCAGGGGACAGTGAAAGCAGTGTGCTATTTGGGCAATCGGTGGGATCGGACAAAGTGCCCATGTGAACAATGAGTGTTAGGGAAAAATTGGATATCTGGGAAAAAACGAGGAGAAACCTACTCGACCGGTTACTACTTAATAAAGGATATTCTTAAACTGAGGGTTAGTTGCACCCAGTATGCCAGACATTTCGTATAGCCACGAATCTCTTTACATTCATATCACAAACGTTCTTGCGTTCATCGCATCTGCCCCTTCTTTTGATGCCATGCACGCTGCTTCGATGAGTGAGGAGGAAGGACAGAAAGATAGGATCATAGGAGGATTGAAATATAGCAAACAGTAATCCGGTCCCGGATGCTCCGCCTTAATCACTGATGAAGTGGCTTCTCTGAGAAACCAGTTGCAAACAAAGAAGGAGAGACCACTGTTCGAAAGACAAACGTCTAATATTTGTCTTTCAGAAGTATCTTTGACCACAACAGACTTTAACCAAGGATTCATATATAGTATTTCACAACTAACATCAAACGCGCAATTATTAATACATTTTCCTTATTCGGTCCCCTGAGATTGTCAGGCCGTCTGAAGCTGAAGCGCCATTTTGACGTTCTTCACACGCCTACTATTTCTGCGTCTTTATACGATTTGTTTCTAGCTGCCATTTACAGACCTTTTTCCATTTACTTATTCTTATCATTTCGTACTGGTTTCTGCCGTCTACGCCAGTATGTTTTTGAAAGATCTAGGCAGAATGTTATTACAGGCAATGACAAGGGAGACTGGAATGGCCACTTCTGGTTTATTAGCCGTCGTCAGCCAATCATACCCAACCCCGAGGTTTAAAGCACCTGGGGCTCGAACTCACGACTTGTTAGTTTGAAGTCCAACGCGTCTAGACACTGAGTTACGGGCCCGTTTTTCTGTCGGTTTCGACAGAGAGAGAGAGAGATAGCCCGTAGGGCCCAACGGAATGAGTGAGTTCCGTAACAACGATTGGTGAAAGCCCAGCCGCCTTTGAAAGATCTGTTGACTAGCGCCCTTTCTACAGACGGTTTGCAGATTGATTCACTGAAAAGGCAGATATGTGAACCGCAGCCGGTTTGTCGCACCAGCAACACTGTGACACATGCTCTTTGCCGTAATGATCAACCATGTATTTTCACTCTCCGGAAACAGAGATATGGCTGGTAGTTCCTCCTCCTCTTTAGCAATAACTCTTTAAAACAGTTGTTAACCCCAGCTTGCCATTCCACTTAATGTTGATCAATCCTGTTACCGGCACCAAAATGGTGCGACAAAGTCGATAAGATTAGTCCACAGACGACGGGGATG